GTAGATGTTATTTTGTTATATATTATTTCAGTCTTAAATTATAAATGTGTGTTTACCCATAGACTTTATACAAAGAGAAAATCATAGTCTGTTATATAACCTGACTTTTTTCCACTTGATACATCATGATCATTTTCCTGTGTCATAAAAATAATTCATCTGAAATATTTTAATTTTACTAGTTGAATAATACTTGAGAAGTTGAATTATATGGGTATGTTAATTTATAATCTCCTTTGAATATTTGCTTTTTATCCTTTTTTTAGTATTCTGTATAACAGTACATTGTGTATGTCTTTGAGTATGTCTATGATTATTTTATCAGTTTAAATTCCTCCACATGAAATAACTAAGTCAAAGAAAATAGACATTTTTAAGTCAGCTGACTTTTTAACTACTGTTATGTAGCCAAACTGGATGATGTACCCATAATGGCATAGTGAAAGCATCTAAGAAATAAAGGCAAAAGCACTTGAGCTGAGTAGATATTTATTTTTTTTACTTTTTTTTTTTTTAAAGATTTTATTTATTTATTCATGAGAGAGAGAGAGAGAGAGAAGCAGAGGGAGAAGCAGGCTCCCAAGGAGCAGGGAGCCCGATGTGGGACTCGATCCCAGGACCCTGGGATCATGACCTGAGCCGAAGGCAGACGCTTAACCATCTGAGCCACCCAGGTGCCCCGAGCTGAGTAGATATTTAAATGTCTACCAAGAATAAAACATTACGTTAAATATATGGACATGTCAAACAGGAAAGAAAGAAAAAAGATGGGTAGAAACAGTCTGTGCCCATAAAGAGCTTTTGTACAGCATAAGACATGCATGTTATTTGTGAGATCAGTGCAGGGCAAAGTGTAGTAAGTGCTGTCACAGAAATTTCTGTAGGTTATGGGAAGCTGAGGGGTGAGATAACCACTTTAATAGTTGTAGCTTTGTTCACATATCACTGAAAGGTCATTACTTGGTAGAGATTCGATCATTGATAAATAATGGCAGTTTGTGATGATAAACAGCAGACACAAAAGAAGATGCAATAATTTTTTTTCTTCCCAATTCAGGAGAGAACAGTGACAGTTGTCCAGTTTATCCAGTCATCACTGCAACGTTGTCCTTATCAGAGGTCACAGAAAGTTTCCATGAGCCTAGCCAAGAACTGAAGTTTTCCATGGAGCAAGGAAATACCAGCAACAGAGGAAATGCCCCCTCTTCCCAACCAGCTGATCTTCATGAAGAACTAGTCAAAGGCAACAGCGGGTCTGAGGCCTGTACCAGTTCCTTTCCAAGATTGTCGTTTGTTCCCGAAACCCCCTTAGAGAGGGACCCCCACTCTCCAGCGGACCAGCCTGAGCAGCAGGCAGAGTCTACCCTGACATCAGCTGAAACACGGGGAAACAAGAAAAAGAAGAAACTTAGGAAGAAGAAAACGCTTCGGGCTGCTCATGTTCCCGAGAACAGTGACACTGAACAGGATGTATTTACTGCTAAACCTGTAAGGAAAGTAAAGACTGGAAAGTCAACTAAAGGGGGGAAGGTAACAACCTCCACCTGGGAAGATAGCAGAACTGGCCCGGAACAAGAGAGTGTCAGAGATGAGCCAGATAGTGACTCGTCTCTGGAAGTCCTAGAGATCCCTAACCCTCAGTTGGAAGTGGTGGCCATTGATTCTTCTGAATCTGGAGAAGAGAAACCAGACAGTCCATCTAAAAAGGATATTTGGAACTCCACAGAGCAAAACTCATTAGAAACTTCTCGTTCTGGTTGTGATGAAGTTAGCTCTACCAGTGAGATTGGCACTCGTTATAAAGATGGTATCCCTGTAAGGTGAGGATGTTGTGCTGGTCCGATCAGAACAGCTTTCACCATTATTCTTTTCGTAAAAAATAGAACTTGTGGTTATGAATCAGTTTTTAAATGAATCAGATGTATAGAAAATCAGTAGAGATTATGGGTATGGAGGAATCAAACCTTGGCAATGGAGATTTTTCTGCTTTCTCATTTGTGTTGTAAATATTTACTGTACTTCTATTTCCTTTCATATAGAAATTTCAGATGGAAAAACTGATCTATCACTGCTGTGTTGCCCATTGTTTAGAACAATCCTTTGAGTCAGGAAAAATAAGTTTTATGGCCTGTCCTATTCACAGGTGCTAAAAAGACTTTTGTTATTATTTTGTAGTGTGGCAGAAACTCAGACTGTGATCTCCTCCATAAAAGGCTCAAAGAACTCTTCAGGTATTGGTTATTCAGCTTCATTTAAATTAACCACAGAAAAAAAGGCTTATAAATAGTAGAGCCAGGGTTTAAGTAAGCCTATAGAATGGGGTGAGGTGGGGTGATTGTCACCAGAAGGATTGCTTTGACCAGCAATTATGGTATCTGTAAATCCTAAATCCTGCCTTTTTAGTTTCTTATTCTCATCTGTCTTAGCTGTTCAACTAATGAGTATTAAGGTTTCATTGCCTCCCGGGGTTTTTGCTTTGAGAAGGAACTGCTTAAAGAATAATGCCTTATTCAACAGAAGAACTGGCAGCAGAAGAGAGGATGTGGAGAGCGATTTGGTACTTTCCAGGTTCACTCAAAAAATAAGTATCTTTTTTCCTACATGGAAGCCTCCTCTGCCTTCTCTTGTTATAAAGTCTTCATAATGAAGATCATTAATGAAAGATGTGTTTTGCTAGGGGAACAAGGTTTTAAGGAGAATCCAGGGACCACTATATTATGTAATGGTTTTAAATTTTGAGTATCTTTTCAGACAAAAGCCGACAGGTCTCTGAAACATATTCTTGTTTTCCAGAAATATCTTCCGAGCCAGGAGATGATGATGAGCCCACAGAAGGGAGCTTTGAGGGGCACCAAGCCGCAGTGAATGCAATTCAGATATTTGGGAACTTACTGTACACCTGTTCAGCAGATAAAACTGTCCGAGCTTATAATCTGGTGGTGAGTTGATAACTCAATTGGAATGTTTTTGCAGGGTTTAGGAACTCCATTTTACACTCTCTTAAACAATAGGGATCTATTTGCTGTCCAGAGATGAGGTGAGTTTTAGACTAACCGTAGATGAGGTTGATGCAGTGGCTTAGAGGGTCACTGGGGACTTAGCTTCTTTCTGTCTCTCCATTCTGCTTTCTCTGGTGTCACCTCTTCCTAAAGCTAGTTCTGCTCACAGATTTTGGAAGCCCTTGGGGTTTCTTTTTCCTCCCATCGCCATAAAAATGGGTCCTGTGCTTGACTGTGAACAACCACTTAGCAAAGGGAGATGAGATGACAGCAGTGGGCTTGGCCAGTCAGGTTCTAGTCCTGGCGTTGTTGATGAGGTCAGTCCCATAGCTGCTACACAGTAGGGTAGAATGAATGTCGGGGAAGTACTGGAGGAGGCATTTTTCCTCACAGTTCATTAATTGTCCCAAGTTACCAAGGAGAGCAACAGTGTTCTAGTTCCTCACACTTAGTGTAATCTGATGCTCGTTAGTCTCAATTTTCATAGAACGAACTTTTCATAGAACGAGTTTTGATTTTGGTGTATGTCAAACTGATTTTGCTAATCAACAGTGATAGCCAAGAAACTTTAGGAACACTCTGTTGTCTGAGCAAACACCATGAAAGTATTTGAAATTACTGAAGTCTTGAAAGTCAAAAGGTTAGATGATGGACCCTGAAAATGTGTTCGCTCTAGGCAACAGGTGTCTAGGAAGGAAGCAGTGGTACCAGGAAGTAGGAGTGTAACATTTGGGGAATTGGCTCTAACTCTGAATTGCAAGATAAATGTATATATGTATGCACATTCTAAGTGGATCTCCATATGTGCACGAAGATAACATGTAGGACGCCCCCTTGTGAAACCGCCCCTGGACCACTACGGCCCGCCATGGCATGTGACACATCTCTGAATATCGTGGAACATCCATACTTACTGATGAGATGCAGGAACTTATCTGGGAAATTAGCTACAGTTTGGATTTGTCAGATCTTTGTTCTTATGTTGGAGATCCTTGCCCTAGGCATTAATTAAAATTCTGATCTATCTTACAGCAGATTGCCCTAAGTATTTTTGGTATGGCTCAGCTAACATAGAGTTGGAGGTACTTAGTTCATGTGACTGTTGACTGGGCATTTAGTGAGCAGATACTGAGCACCTTTTGTATACCAGGCACTAGCTGAGGCACTGAGGATACAGCAGCAAACTGTATGTTTCAGGATTTTTGTTGTTGTTGAGGAACTGTGTTACCTAATCCTCGTGTATCCACAAGTAATGATCTGATATGTGCTTAACTTCAGAGTCGCCAGTGCATTGGTGTGTTCGAGGGGCACACCTCCAAAGTGAACTGCCTCCTGGTTACACAAACCTCTGGGAAGAATGCTGCCCTTTACACTGGTTCCAGTGACCATACCATTCGCTGCTATAATGTCAAGGTAAGTGAGTCCAGAGAAATCAGAAGTGATCATATGAAGCTGCTTTGGCTGTATTTACTGTGTAGAGTGGAGACACTGAGACACATGCTTCATTCTGCCCACTTGATTATGCTTTGAGCCTATTTTAGTAGCATACCTCAAAGATACTGCAGGTTGGGTTCCAGGCCATTGCAGTAAGGTGTGAACATCACAATAAAACTAGTCAAATGAAGTTTTTTGTTTCCTAGTGAACATAAAAGTTATGTTGATGCTATACACTGTTCGGTTAGGTGTGCAGTGGCATTGTATCTAAAAAAAACTATGTACCTTAATTAAGAAACACTTTTTTCTCTTCTCCACAGAGAGGGAAAAAAGGAAGGAAAAAAAAGAGAATGAATACTTTATTGCTAAAAAATGCTAACCCTCATCTGAGCTTTCAGCGAAGTGGTCATCTTGTTGCTGCCGGGGGGTCTTGCCTCGGTGTTGATGGGCCTCTGAGGGGTGGGGGATGGTGGTTGCTGAAGGTTGGGGTGTCTACGGCAATTTCTTAAAATAAGACCACAGTGAAGTGTGCCTCCGTGATCGACTCTTCCTTTCAGGAACCATTTCTCTGTAGCGTGCGGTGCTATTGACAGCATTCTACCCCCAGTAGAACTTCTTCCAAAACTGCAGTCCATCCTCTCAAACCTTGCTGCTGCTTTATCAACTAACTTTATGGAATATTCTAAACCCTTTGCTGTCATTTCAACAGTCTTCACAGCATCTTCACCAGGAGTAGATTCCATCTCAGGAAACCACTTTCTTTGCTCTTCCGTAAGAAGCAACTCCTCATCCAGTACAGTTTTATCCTGAGATGGCAGCAAGTCCGTCACGTCTTGGGGCCCCACTTCTCATTCTAGTTCTCTTGCTGCTATTCCCACCACATCTGCAGTGACTTCCTCCACTGAAGCCTTGGCCCCCTCAAAGCCATCGTTGAGGGCTGG